CCGCCCGGCCAATCACAGCCCCGCCCGCCCGGCCAATCACAGCCCCGCCCGCCCGGCCAATCACAGCCCCGTCGGCCCGGCCAATCACAGCTCCGCCCTCCGCCCCGGCCAATCAAAGCCTCGCGCGCTGCGCTCCCCGCCCCTATATGGAGTCGTCTGCTTTGGCGAATGCGAGAGGTCTTGTGACCAATCCCAGGCGCGCGCCGAAGCCGTGCAGTCTGATTGGCCGGCTGTGGGGCCGCGCCGTCTGATTGGCCGGTTGCGGCGGGCGCGCTCTCGCGAGTGCCCGGCCCTGCTCCCACAGCGAGGTTTCTGAATTTCCCGTTCGGTTCTCATCTGGCAGGGGAAATCCCCATCTTGTGCTGCCCTGCCCTCGGGTTCTATCCTTCAAGGGCCGTTGATTGTTTCTTAAGAAGGTATTTCTGTTTGCCTGTGTATTGATAACACCTCCTCGTGTATTATAATTCAAGATTTTTACTCACACACTGCTGCTTTCTGTGCTAAAAGTCATAATTTAAAAACATTGAGTAAGTCTTTGTTTGATTCTACCAGTACAGAAATTGAAGTACTTTTTTTGTGATGGTTGTGCTCTGCAAATTTTTAAGCTTTTCTGGAAAAGTAACAATATACCTGTGTGCTCATTCTAGGGCCAGAATGTCAACTTTAGTTATCACTTTTAAAACAGAGGTGAAGAAAGAATAGTGTAAAATCTCATTTTTTAATGTCATTTACAAGTTACACTTTTTTTTTTTTTTTCTTCTTCTGATGGTAACGGCAATAAATATTCTGTATTATGGAAGTGTCCTTCCAAATCTCTCTCATTGCAGAAACTACTTGGGCCAGAGGAGCCGGTGTTTGAACTGTCAGCCAGTGTACTGGTGATGAAAAGAGTGTCACTGCTGAGTCATTGTCATTGTACTTGATTTGTTACTATCCTAAGAAAAGATAAAAACTTGTTTGTTATTGTTGTTACTACACACATGGGTCTATCCAACGCCTAACTCATACTTTTTTCTCTCTCTCTCTTTGCCCCATACCAGAACACATGTGAAAAGAGCCTTAGAAGCTTTTTCTGATTATAAATTTTTGTTGTACTTACCATCTCTTTTATGTTCTCCATATGTAGGGATCAGCTGTTAGTGTTCTATGCTCCTAAACCTTGTATTTAGTATTTGTTTGAGCCCATTACTTGGACTCGATGATCTTATGCAATCTAGATGATTCTGTGATTCTCTGCTGGCTTTAATTTAAGGATGTTCAGTTTTTACATGAATACAAAGAGTGATATTTAAAGAAATTTGTATGTGTGTGTGAGATCTATGAAGTAATTTTATTAAGGTCTGTTTATTTTCAGTTTTGGGCCCACTGGGTATTATGTGCTGTTTTCCCAATGGAAACTGTGCCAGTATGTTTGAAGTGAGATTTCAATACAAAATACTGAACCTGCTGCAAAAATGCACAAAGTGCTCCTTCTCTTCTTTCTGAAATCTTGGCAAAATATCCTTTGTGTCACGTTCCCGTGTGTGAGCCCTGGGCAGCTGTGATCCAGCTTTTCATATGGCTGTTCCTCTGGAAGAACAGCGCTTCTGGCAGCCGTGACATACCGAGCTGTTCAGCGAGAACTTCGCTCTCGGTACCGACCCAGATGGGTTCGGGCCCCTGGAGCAGTTCCCAGCTGCCGGACTCGGTTCCAGCTGCTCAGCGGGAGATGGCGCTTTGCGCCCTCGAAGCAGCAAGAGGAGGGTGAGAGGAAAGTTCGCGTTGGCTGAGTTCAAGAATTCAATTGCGTAAGCCTTGCTTCACAATGAGAACTCGTAATTCTTACTGTCATTCCATTCTTTAATAGGTGGGTCTGAAGTGACACCCGAGGCTGGAATTTAGAGCCAGGTGACTAATTAAATCCTCTGTGCGTGAAAACAGATAGTATCTTGGGGAAATACAGATTAACTGAGCAGTACTGACTGGGTGCTCTGGGAAGAGGGGAACTTGTGTCCCATGTTATTCCACAGCTACTTGGATGAGATTCTCTCTAGTCCGTCAGAGAAACATTGACAAAAACAAGGAAGGTCGGTGATGAAAGGATGAGAATTGTGTCCATAATACCAGTGGGTTGTGTAGGTGTTTTAAAAGGAACTTTTTTTCCAAAGTGGAGATCTTCAAATGTACAGCTAATGTTCAATAAAATCCTATGTAAGTGGTCTTTACCAAGTGAAGTTAGTTTCATCTGTTGACAGAGAATATAACTTCTTTATTATGATGCTGTAAAACTGTGCTTTTTAACTTTTTTAAAGATCAACCATCATTACAGTTTCCTGTATAATTTTACACTGAGAAGTCTGATGTTATATCTGATGTTATTTTATGCTATTGGTTGTATTCTCCATTTAGCATAGTTAATGCAACTCCCACTTTTGTTTTTTGTAGTCTGTTGGGACATCATTGATGTTAAAACTTGGAAACCGTGCAACCCTAAAGTATGAGGGAAACCATTTATACTTGGTTTAAATTGAAAGAATAAATTTGCAACAACTGGAGATAGTTTCAAAGGGTAGGAGACCTGAATTTCAAGAAATCTGCCTATGACTCAGTTAATACACCATTGTGATATCAGAGTAAGCTATTGTTTAGTCAGTAATGTTGTTTCCCCCCCCCACCCCCCTTGTTCAGATCTCAGTTGAGAGGTTAATTGAGATGAAGTGACATAAAATGCCTCTGAGAGCTGTGGACTAATGCAGCAAAAGTGTTTATTGTGCCTGAATCATTTCTCCATATCTGAAAAATTCATTGACTCATGCCATGTATTTTCTAGATTTGAGAGATTTGATTTAATTGCAGCTTTTGATGAGCTTGGAAGTAGTAGCAGTAAGGCGTGCACATCTAGCCCATATGCTCTGAGAAAACCAGCATGCACTATTTGCTTAGCATATTGCCCACTAATACCTCTAGATATCACAGTGAGATTGTAAAGAATCATAGAGATACTTAATATGCTGTTATTCAAGAACCTTCATATTGTTGCTAAACTGCAGTTCCCTATTTAATGGAGCATGGACTTGCTCCCTTTTCAGGAGACCAAGAAATTGGTTTTAAGCAGCTATCAAAATTATGGTTAGGCTGAACATGAAGAACTAGGAATTTGTTTGATTGGGTTGTATTTAGTGTGCTGCTCTGCGTCCTTGAAGTCATGGAGGAGAAGGGAGTCTGGAGACAACACAAGGAGTAGTGATCATTTTGCCATGTGTGCAGCTGGAATCTGCAATTGCTGAGCAGCCTAGGCAGAGCTAACGTCCTGCAACCTGTGGCTCCACTGGCACTGCTGTCTGGCACAAGTGTGTGGTGTGTGCTGAGAAGGTTTGTCCTACACCTATCATCCTCCCTTCAGTGCTAATGGCTGTGTACCTAGGCACTAAGGAAAAACTAATTTGGTTTCAAACCTATTGCTGTTTTTTCTTGGGGCCACTGAAGTCAAGAGTGAGGCAAGTGAATTTGGGAAGGCAGAACTGCCCCTTTTGTTATTGGTGAAAACTTATGCTGGAATAAATAGAAGTCGTTTATATGCAATGATTTTTATTTTCCTACCCTCCCTCTAGGAGGGAAGTAAATAATGCTGCTGGTAAGAGAAATATAAAAAAGCTGCTGCTAGTTTCTTTATGTGTGAGCTTTGTTACTAAGTCAGAACAGATTTCTAATGTCAGGAAACTTACATATTCTTTCTACAAATCCTTATTTATATTTGATCTGTCCAGGTACTTCCGGTACTCCCCCTCCCCTCCTCCTTTTTTCATTATACTTACTCTCCATTTGAGAAAAGAGGAGGATGTTTTAGGGTGTACAGCAATCCATTGCTATCTTTTAAGGCAGTATCATTTTATACCGTTTTGACCTTGCAAAATAACTAAATGCCTGGTACCCACAGCTCCTCCTAATTGTAGGAGGGGACTTACGGTTGCTCAGTGCAACACAAAATCAGAATGCTTGGTCTCATTTCCATTTAGCATGAGTGTTACTGAGAGGATATATA